TCGTAAATTAACTCAATTTAAACTGACATATATAATTAGTACAGTCCAAAAAAAAAATCTATATACAGGGCATGCAAAAAAACCCTTAATGCAGCCCTTAAAATCATTAAAAGCCTGGAAGTGCAAAAGTTCAGGTTTCCATAGTAATGTCTACATAACTACACATTATATGAGCTTTAAGCTACAGGTTCAAAAGTGCAGTAACGTTTAACCAGAAAAACAATATGAACTTACATGTAAGCAACAGATTTTACATTTCATTAAAATTGTTTGCATTTAGTTCTCAAGATTTTTTTAAATGGATTTTCCCCCATGATTAATACTAATAATTAAATGGTCTCAATGAAGATTAGCTGATCATACAGAAGTGGGATCTCATTCCACTTCTATCCCATTCACATCTGCTGTTGGTCTCATTTTTCTGAATACAAGTCAATGATACAGAGGCAGCAGTGTGGGGTGGCAGCAGCTCCTGTCCCCGGGGGTCGAGCTCCCCACTGACAGAGGCTGCTGCAGGGGCAGGAGGAGTGGGAGGGAGAGGAGAGAAGCTGCTGCTGCAAAGTAGCCTCTGTCTACAGGGGAGGGGAGTCAGAGTGTCAATGTTTCATTCTAGCTGTAAGAAAGAAACTTGATGTAGGGGTAACCCTCAAAAATACATTTTAAAAAATGACTGGACTATAAAAGTCAAGGGCAAACACAGCCTGGTTCTCTGATTTACACACGACAAAGGAACCAGTCCGTTGACTGAGGGGAGATTTATATCTGAGAATTTGGTTAGTCCTGATGCTAGAACAACATGTTAATGCTTTTGTGTAGCATGTCAAGTTTTTGCTACTGGGAAATATTTTTATCTTTTATTCTGGTAACTATTTTCAACTTGAGTTTCTTACACTTGTACTCATTTAAAATGTCTCTTTGTAGTTAAATCATTTTATTTTTAATCTAAACTAATCCATGGTAGTGTGGTCTGGATTGCCTGGGTCTCCTACCTCCCATGTTAACAGCCTGACCACTGGTTGGCAGAGCTATTTAACTATCCATTGAGCCACTACAAAATTAAGTTATAGCAGTGAAGCAAGAGACTGAAAGAGGCCTGCCCAGAATATTCCATAGCCCAGTGTCTACAGCACTCTCCTGACTGTGAGAGAACCAAGTTCAAGTCCCTCCTCCACATGCTCCCCACCTCCACCCTACTTTCTCAATGATGCTGAAGTCCTGGGAAAAAAATATTGTCCAAACTATATGGCAATCTCACATCTAATTCACTAATAGTTTTAGGTCAACCAAAACTGCCTTTTTTGGGGGGGGGGGAGGGGAAGGGGCGGGATTTTAACCTCCTCTACATATGGCTATGCAAGCAAAGCAGTTCTAAGATGGAACAAAAAACCCTTAACTGAATGGCCATATGAGGCACTAAATTGTGAATATCTTATACAATTTTTACTCCTGCACAGCAATTATGGTAGTAAATGTGACTTATATGGTAAATATAATATATGCGACTGATGAAGCAAAAATGTGGTAAAAAGTGATTAAATACTTTCCTCTTCTCTTACAGATTTACAAAAGAAACTTGCAAGCATTTTATATGTATAAAATTACATAAAGGAATGAAAGACAGCCAAGCACCAAATACAAAATGAGCAGTTACAGGTCTATATGTAGGAATTTCTAGGGGTGTGTGCTTTATTTGTAAATGTGGACTGTAATTTTTTTTTTTAAATATAAAGGAGTTCAAAATAAGCAAGCGTAAGAGAGTTTAATGAAAAATGTGAAGGGGGGCGGGGCGGGAGGGAAATGTTCTAAATTCTTCGCTCTTTCCAGAGGACAGATTTTTAACAGGAGATTGAAGATTGATTTACAAATATCTCTTCCCACATGCTGCTAAAAAGTCCTCATTAATATAGCATTAAGATGTACTATATATTGGATTTCTCTCCTTACCACACAAATGTTCAGATTATGGCCAGAACATTGCATAATGGGACTTAAGAACGGGAATGCCTAACAGTTCAGAGATGTCTAAAATACTACTGCACAATCCACTACTATATGAACCAGGCACTTAAAAAAAAAAAAAAAAAAAAAAGAAGACTAAACCAACCAACCAACACCCTCCCCTCCCCCAAGTTAGGTTATCAACGAATGTCAAAGTTAAAATCCAGATTAAGGTTGAATGTTACTACTCCACTGTTGTACAAAAGATTGCCAAACAACAGAAAATCCAAAGCAGAGCGATTACGGGACAGCTCTTGGACAACGGAACAAAACCCTCCATGAGCTTAAACCCAAAAGGAGCCAGTTCTAGGGCACCTAGTCCCCACCACTAGAGAGGAGACGTGCAGAGCTAGGTCCCCCAGCCTACACACCCCACACGTGAACCGGGCAGAGCGGCTCCAGCCTACCTGGCACCCCTGGGGAAGTCAGGAGCAGCTGTAGCATGAGAAGCCAGGGTGCTCCTGCCTGCCTCCAGGACTGGGGGATGCACAAGGGGCGGGCAGGAAGGTGTCTCATCTGTGCTGAGGGCCTCTGTCCACAGCCAGGGCTCCCTGGCAGTCCCTTCATGGCTCCCCAGGCAACAGTTGGGTCCATCCCACCCCAGCCACATCGCTGCTCTGCGCTGGGGGAGAGGAGCTGGAGTAATCACTCAGCCTCAAGGATGGAGCCGCAGCAGCTAGTGCTCTGCAGGGCAGAAGAAGTGCTGCGAGCCAACCATTTGCTCACTCCCTCCTTGCACCTCCATCAGGACATAGAAGAGACTAGCATGGGGGGGAGGGATGTGTGTGCGCGCATATACGTGCATGTGAGAGAGAGAGAGACATCCTGCGTTCATTCTACGTAAGCATGTATGACATTCAGAGAATTACAAGAAGCCTATGCTGGCCACAATAATGTAACAATTTACAATTTAAAATTATTGTTAAAGGAAACAATGATTGACTATAATGAAATATTTATAACAGGATGCTTTAATTCTCTTATGTTTAAATAAGGAATACAACATCCACACACACGCGCCTTAAAAATGGCTACAAGTAACATAGCAAATGTGTCCTCAGCTGAAAACTACAATTGCTATCCCAACTGGTTTTCTATACTCTATCTATTTTTAGGCACAAGCAATTTCCGAGCATGCAAATAATTTATGCTCACAAATTTGTTTCCTGCAAATGTGCTGCAAAATGCAAATTGTTTGCTTAATTTTACATACTAAATTAGGTCTGCAGGTCTGTGTTGATAGGAATCTCACTGAAGAAAAATATATAAATGCAACCTCCATGCAAATGAGTAGACAAATCTGACTCAACAGCCTATAACAATTGAACAAAGAATGCATGAGCTTCTTAATTGCTACGATAACGTACAACTGTAGATTTGTTTTACATATCTCCACTCAAAAAAACCTAAAACAATGTAAAACTGTCGTATTGAGTGACAGGTTAGTAGTCATGAAAGAGCACAAATGGGTTAATGTGTACAGTAACTCTTCACTTAACATTGTCCTGGTTAATGTTTCGTTGTCACTGTGCGTATCTATTAGAGCACACGCTCATTTAAAGTTAAGCAATGTTCTTTATAACGTCCTTTGGCCTCCTGCTTTGTCCACTACTTGCAGGATTTTCTGGAAAAGCAGCCTGTCCTTGCAAGTGTTTGGAACTAGAGTGGGCTGGCAGCCCCCATGAGCTCCCCCTTAAATATTGTGAAAGATATGAGGCTCTGCAGCTGCAGTTCAGCAGTCTGTTTCCCGCCACCCCCGCGCCTTGGAGCTGCTTCTGGGAACCTACTGTTTGTTGTGTGGGAGGAGGGGGAGAGGGTGCTGATGTCAGGAAGCCCCCGTTCCCCAATCAAGCCCCACTTTCTGTACCTCATCTTCACAAAAGCAAATTACAAATATCTACAGATTCTTGAATCTGAACTTCCTGACCAATAGTATTGGTACAGGGTAATGTACTTAAGTGGGGTCAGCATACTTCAATAGATAATGTGCATCTGTCTGCTTGACAGACACACACACACACACACACACACACAGTGTGCACCTGTGTTTCACACACAGCCCTTGGCACTGTGCAGCCGTGTATGCTTCATCCACAGGACAGAATGGTGCACTCCAGAGGAATAGTGAGAGTTCTTCATGTTCAGTTTCTGCAGGGACTTCGACTTCCTGCTGTGTAGACAGCACCGAAAGCTGAATTAAGCAATTTTGCCTTAAGCAACGGAAACAATGTACCTCAAGTTGCTTAGCTTAATTCGACTTTTGTTCTGCTGTGTACATATGCCTTAAAAGTCCTCCAGTGAACCAAGAAAATAAGAGGGTATTCCAGAAAGGCTACACAATGTTCCCTGGGTGTTGAGGAGAGAGAGGCCAATCCAAGAAGTGGTGGGTTGCAATAAAGGAAGACACGCGAGCACGTGGTGAGATAGAGAATGTGGCTCTGAACAGAGCACTTTTTAGGAGGACTCAGAGCAAACTCCTTTTTGATTGGGTTCACTCACAGAAGAAGAGTGCAACTTCACAAAGTGAAAGGCCAAATTCACTCCACCACAGTAGAAAAACTCAAAGGCTGAAGACAGAAGTTTTCAGTTCCAATTCTGACTCCTGTAAAAGCCACTCAAAGGTTCTTCCCCATGTGTACCACAGGGTTTTCCAGTTCATGTATTTGTCTCTGCATGCACAAACTCAGTAATCTAGCAAAACACAGATATGCTAGTCCAACATACAGATACCTGCATACATCACAATAATCAACTCAGGACCACTGTAGTTAAAATATGGGCACATATTAACACTACTTTGTAGCAAGAATGCCTGTTGGGAAAGCATTTTTACAAGGCAGAGTTTGGCCCAAATTAGTCCCATTAAAACATACACTAATGATCCCAGTATGTTTCCATCCTAAATCATGCAAATAGGTTACTTTCCAACCAAGATGTTGTAAAACAATCTCTCTG